GTACGCTGGAGGCCGCCATCCAGCTCTTAGATGAGTGCAAGGCTCACAGCAACAGCATGGGCTGTACTTGGTGCCGCTGGTCCTGTGGTCCTGAGGCCTGGGGCTGACCCTGACACCAGAAAATGATGGCGCTGGTGGGTGCTGACCCTGGTCCCACAGAGACTGCTGGGACACCCTGGAGAGGGAGGTGCTGCCTGCGAGGTAGGGACACACAGAGGTCACCCTCAGATTCTTCTGGCAATAATCTAAAAAATGTAAAAATCACAGGGGACAGGAAAATTAGAACTGGAGACCAAAATTCCTCTATGGTAGAAAATTCAAATTTGCCTTAAGGGATTTTGCAGGCCGGGCGCAGTGGCTCACGCCTGTAATCCCAACACTCTGGGAAGCCAAGGTGGGTGGATCACCTGGGGTCAAGAGTTCGAGACCAGCCTGACCAACATGGAGAAACCTCCTCTCTACTAAAAATACAAAAATTAGCTGGGTGTGGTGGTGGGTGCCTGTAATTCCAGCTACTCAGGAGGCTGAGGTGGGAGAATCATTTGAACCAGGGAGGCGGAGCTTGCAGTGAGCTGAGATTGCACCACTGCACTCCAGCCTGGGGACAGAGCGAGACTCTGTTTCAAAAAAAAAAAAAAAAAAAAAAAAGAGAAAGAGAGATTTTACACTGGCCAGGCACGGTGGCTCATGCCTGTAATCCCAGCACTTTGGGAGGCCGAGGAGGGTGGATCATCTGAGGTCAGGAGTTTGAGACCATCCTGGGCAACATGGTAAAACCCCATCTCTACTGAAAATACAAAAATTAGCTGGCCGGTAGTGGAGTGCGCCTGTAATCCCAGCTACTTGGGAGGCTGAGGTGGGAGAATTGCTTGAACCCGGGAGGCAGAGGTTGCAGTGAGCTGAGATCGCATCATTGCACTGCAGCGTGGGTGACAGAGTAAGACTCCGTCTCAAAAAAAAAAAAAAAGATTTTGCACTGACAGAGTGAAAAGGGGGCTGACTCAGGGCATTTAGCACCGGGTCAGAGTTAGTGCTCACTCCCACAGAAATGTGTGCTAAATTCCTCCAGGACACTAGCCCAGATCCCCCACATCTGTCCCTCAATGTGGCCAATCCCATGCCCACGAATCAGAAAAACCACTGATGAGGAAGGCTCACCGGGTGGGGACAACGGGCACACTCGGAGGCTCCCTGCTGTGGATACTCAAGGCAAGGCCCGGACTCAACCACCCACCAGTGACAACAGCCAGAGTTCACTGTGGAGGGGCCCTGGAGACCACACCCACCTCCTGCTGAGTGACAGCAGACAGCGCGAGGGGTCTGTTGTCTCTTTGAATGTCACTGCCGGGGGACCCTGGGGCTGTCTCCAGTCCTGAAGAGGCTCCCCTCAGTCACATGGCAGCTCTGGACAAGACACGTGCAAAGGCGAGACACGGGCAGCTGCTCCCTGGTGTTCAGCAGTCGCCTGCTGAGGGCCCCCAGCCTGACTTCGACTGACCCTGGCCCCCCACAGTGGGACCCAGGCCTCACCATTATTTTCCCTGAGCACCTGGAAACTTCCCCAAATCCCAGGACTAAGAACCAGACCCTCATGGGCCCCCAAGATGGGTGGCTGTGCCCAATGCCCTCATCATGGGGCAGCCAGAAAATAAGCACCTGGGCTCATGTGGCCATATTTCTGAAGGCTGAGGACCCTCGACAGCCTGTTCTCACGGAACTAATACCCTCCCTCCTTTCCCAACTTGAGAGAATGGCAGCCTCCTCATCCCGTAGCCTGGGGACTTGGTGGTCCTCCAGGGGCTGTCCCACTCTGAGGGGACAATTGCCTTTTACTACTCTATTAATTGGGGCAAGAAAAACTTTCAGTACTTTATAAGGGGACCCAAGTCACAGTAGTTTCTGAGGAGCCTACAAAATGTAAAAAGGGAAAGCTTTTAAAATAAAGGGAATCACGAACAAACCCTCGAGAGTTCACCTTCATTTTATTTTACTTATTTATTTTATTTTATTTTATTTTAATTTAATTTAATTTAATTTAATTTTATTTATTTTTGAGACAGAGTTTCACTCTTGTTGCCCCAGGCTGGAGTGCAATGGCACAATCTCAGCTCACCGCAACTTCTACCTCTCGGGTTCAAGTGATTCTCCTGCCTCAGCCTCCCAAGTAGCTAGGATTACAGGTGCGCACCACCATGGCCAGCTAATTTTTGTATTTTTAGTAGAGATAGGGTTTCTCCATGTTGGTCAGGCTGGTCTGGAACTCCCGACCTCAGATGATCCATCCGCCTCGGCCTCCCAAAGTGCTGGGATTACAGACGTGAGCCACCGTGCCCAACCTATTTTATTATTATTATTTTTTGAGACAGAGTTTTTTTTGTTGTTGTTGTTCTTGTTGCCCAGGTTGAAGTGCAGTGGCGCAATCTCGGCTCACTGCAACCTCCAGCTCCCAGGTTCAAGCGATTCTCCTGCCTCAGCCTCCCAAGTAGCTGGGATTACAGGCGCCCGCCACCATGTGTGGCTAACTTTTTTGTATTTTTAGTAGAGATGGGGTTTCACCATGTTGGCCAGACTGGTCTTGAATTTCTGACCTCAGGTAATCCACCTACCTCAGCCTCCCAAAGTGCTGGGATTACAGGTGTGAGCCGCCGCACCCAGCCTATTTTATTTTGTTTAAGACAGTCTTGCTCTGTTGCCCAGGCTGGGGTACAGTGGCATGATCTTGGTTCACGGGAGCCTTGACTTTCCAGGCTCAAGCAATCCTCCCACTTCAGCCTCCCGAGTAGCTAGGATTACAGGTACCCACAGCCACACCCGGCTAATTTTTGTATTTTTAGTAGAGACGGGGTTTTACCATGTTGGCCGGGCTGGTCTCGAACTCCTGGTCTCAAGTGATCTGCCTGCTTTGGCCTCTTAAAGTGCTAGGATTACAGGCATGAGCCACCGCGCCTGGCCCCTCACGACCCTTTAGATGCCTCCACTGGCACTACTTTTATTAAACATCTGCCACCCACCGGCTCTCTCTTCTTCCATCACGGGAGTGGGTGCCCTCATGCTCCTGGAACAAACCTAAGTCACCGGCCCTTCTGGTTGCAGCTGCCCACTGGGAACCTGTCCACTTGCCACGTCCAGTAAAGATGGTGCACACCCCTCAATATCCCTTGAAACAAGGTGTGCTGGCCTGTGCCCAGTCATTAAAAACATGCTAAAGGCTAAGGTTACAAAACCACTCTCTCTCCCTTTAACAGCACAGTCTAGCCTGTACCCTAAATTAGTTCCAAAGAGTGGCGCTCACTTATTAATTACTGAAACTTACATGCCCAGGTTTCTCCAACAAAGGCCCCTCTAACTAAGATAACAAATTATTGAAGATATTCCAATGGTCCCAGGTGTACACTTTGTGGTCCTTGGTTTGGCCAATATATTTTATTCTATACCTATTACTGAGGAGTCTCAACCACAATTTGCCTTCATTTTCAAAGGAACACAATATCCCTTTACTCAGCTTCCAGTGAGGTCCCCAATAGCCCAGTCAGTGCCCCAAACCTCTGCAGACAAGACCTGGATGAGGCATCTCTTCCACACTGTCATTTACGGCATTGTATCGATGACCTCCTGTTAAAAGATTCCTTCTGAATAAGCTGTTCACATTCACACACCATCATGACCCAGCTGAAAAATAACGGTGATGGCCGGGTGCGATGGCCACGCCTGTAATCCCAGCACTTTGGGAGGCCAAGGTGGACAGATCATGAGGTCAGGAGACCAAGACCATCCTGGCAAACACGGTGAAACTTTGTGTCTACCTAGAAAAAAAAAAATACGAAAAATTAGCCGGGCGTGGTGGTGGGCACCTGTAGTCCCAGCGACTCAGGAGGCTGAGGCAGGAGAATGGTGTGAACCCGGGAGGCTGAGTTTACAGTGAGCAGAGATTGCACCACTGCACTCCAACCTGGGCGACAGAGCAAGATTCTGTCTCAAAAATAAATAAATAAATAAAAATAATGGTTATGAGGCCAGGCGTGGTGGCTCATGCCTGTAATCCCAGCACTTTAGGAGGCCGAGGCAGGCGGATAACAAGGTTGGGAGATCGAGACCATCCTGGCTAACACGGTGAAACCCCGTCTCTACTAAAAATACAAAAAATGAGCCGGGCGTGGTGGCGGGCGCCTGTAGTCCCAGCTACTTGGGAGGCTGAGGCAGGAGAATGGCGTGAACCCAGGAGGCGGAGCTTGAAGTGAGCCAAGATCACACCACTGCACCCCAGCCTGGGCGACACAGTGAGACTCCGTCTCAAAAAAAAAAAAAAAAAAAAAAAAAAGGGTTATGGTATCACCCCACATAAAATACAGGGGCCAGTGCCTTCAGTAAAATTCTTGGGCACTGTCTGGTCAGGGTGCAGCAGATCCTATTAACTGTTAAACATAAACTACTGACACTGATACCACCCACAAGTCTTCCACAGACACATCGATTTGGATTCTTCGTGTTTTGGAGACAAGAGTTTCCATATCTTACTCTAATACCCAGACCCTTTTATGCTATAACCTGTAAAGCAACCACCTCTCAGTGGGGAGGCCCCACAGCCCTCGCCAGGCCTGGCAGGCAGCCCAGCACACCATGCCACCATGCCTCCAGGTCCCACTCTTGCGTGGAAGCTCTGGCGACACCCACTCTGCCTCATGGAGTCTGTGGAGAAAACATGGTCCACCTGGTTGCCCATAGGGTTCTGAACTAAATGAGCCCCAAAGAGCAGCTCAATATGCCCCCTAGAAAGGCAAATGCTATCTGCCTATTGGGCGCAATTAGAAACTGAGGGTCCCACAATGAGTGGAAGCAGCACCCCTGTGGACTCCGAACCCACCACGCGACAGCTCAGGACACCTCCCACCCAGCACAGGCAGGTGTCACCTTGCTGCATGGAAATGGCACCTGCAGGACCAGGCTGACCTGACACAAAGGGTCTTCCCAAACTCCAGGAGGGTGTGTGGCTTTACTCATACCCGGCCCCTTGCTCATGGTGTTGGAGGACCTGGTCGAGTCAGTCGAATTGGCAGCCTTGTGATGCAACATGCCTGCAAGTCCAAACTGCCTTCTGCCCATAGATTTAGACTCAGTCAAGCAAGTGGAAACAGGACGGTTCTCTCGTTCAAAGCAACCTCGGGGGGCACCTGTTTGTGGAAACAGGACGGTTCTCTCATTCAAAGCAACCTCAGGGGACACCTGTTTGTGGAAACAGGACGGTTCTCTTGTGCAGGGCAACCTCGTGGGGGCACCTGTTTGGGAAGAAGTTGCCTCCTAGGGCTTCCTCACCTTAGTCTGCGAGGGATCACCATAAATGCAGGGTGATACTTGAAACAGCGCCAGAGATGCGCAGACCAGCCCTCCCAGGGAACTACAAGGCCTTCCTGACAGTGGTGGCCAACTGGGAGCACATCATCCATCCACCTGGATGGCCCCCATCTCAAGGGGGATGACATCACTCCAACTTCAACACTGAGAACACAGACCCTCCCCGCTGCAGACTCCCGTCATGACTCCACCCCTCAAACTAGGATCACAAATCACAACTCCACCCCCCAACAAACTAGGATCAAAAGGGTTGCCTCTGCCCCAACTATGGACTCACAACTAGACTCCAACCTACAGAGCTCTCTACAAAATATAGAGCCCAGGGATGCTAGGAATCTTATTTTGCTGAAATAGCCTATGCTTGACATATAAACTAAATGGAAACAAAAATGCCCAAAGTGCCGGAATTATAGGCGTGACCACGGCACCCGGAAACCTCATGTGTTTTGATGCTGTAATCCCAGCACTTTGGGAGGCCAAGGCAGGTGGACTGCTTGAGCCCAGGAGTTCAAGACCAGCCTGATCAATATGGTGAAACCTTGTCCCTACTAAAAATACAAACATTATCTGGGTGTGCTGGAGTGCACCTGTAGTCCCGCTCAGGAGGCTGAGGTGGGAGGACCACTTGAACCAGGGAGGGTAAGGTTGCAGCGAGCCAAGTTCACGCCACTGCACTCCACCCTTGGTGACACAGCGAGGCTGTTTCAAAAAAACAAAAAGAATTTCATTATCTGGTCCCAGTGGGAACAAAGTTTAGCTCTGAATCTTCTCATGTCTTCAAGAAACCATAAAAAATAACAACAGAAAAATACAAACAAGCAAAATGAATTTTTTTTTTTTTTAACTGCATTTTCAGGCTGGGCGTGGTGGCTCATGCCTGTAATCCCAGCACTTTGGGAGGCTGAGGCGGGTGTATCACCTGAGGTAGGGAGTTCAAGACCATCCTGGCCAACATGGTGAAACCCCATCTCTACTAAAAACAGAATTAGGAGGGTGTGGTGGCGGGCGGCTATAGTCCCAGCTACTTGGGAGGCTGAGGCAGGAGAATCACTTGAACCTGGGAGGCAGAAGTTGTACTGAGCCAAGATGGCACCACTGCACTCCAGCCTGGGCAACAGAACAAGACTAAATATCAAAAAAGTAAAAATAGGCTGGCATGGTGGCTCACACCTGTAATCCCAGCACCTTGGGAGGCCAAGGCGGGCAGATTGCCTGAGCTCAGGAGTTCGAGACCAGCCTGACCAACATGGTGAAACCCCGTCTCTTCTAAAAATACAAAATTATCTGGGCATGGTGGTGATCGCCTGCAGTCCCAGCTACTCAGGAGGCTGAGGCAGGAGAATCACGTGAACCCGGGAGGTGGAGGCTGTGACAAGCCAAGATGGCGCCATGGCACTCCAGCCTGGGCAAGAAGAGCAAAACTCCGTCTCAAACAAACAAAAACAGCAAAAAACAGAAACAAAAACTAAATAAATAAAAATAATGAAAAAAAAAAAAAAAAAAAAAAAAAGGACAACAGGAGGCCCTGGAGGCTGAGTTCCTCAGAAGTGCTGCCAAATGCAATGCCAAAAGGGAACAGTCCCAGTAGCCGGAAGGGGCCACAGAAAAGCAGCACTACAAACGCAGATGGGCCCAAGATGGATCTCTAAAGTGTCCAAAAAGAGCTGGCCCAACCCAGGAAAGAGTATCTGTGAGCGGGGCCAGTACTGACGATGGCAGAGCCCTGGGACAAGTCAACACACAAGCCTCAGAAAGCTCGGTGCCCAGGCCACAGTGGTGACAGCTCGTGGATAATGCCAGCAAAATGTAACTTGTGAAGGTACATGCTGGTGACCAGCTGCACAGAGGTACACACACACTCATACGCACACACATACTCACATGTGTAAACACGTACATACACACAGACGCAGATACACAAATACCCATACGTACAGAATCCACAGTCTCTACTCCAAATTTAACAAACACATAAACAACCAAGAAAATAGAGCACTTTTTTGTGAGAAAAGGAAATCAACCATCTGACCCTGAAATGAGTCAGATGTTGAAACTAACAGACAAGGATTTAAAAACAGGAATTATAATTATCCTCAGTGAAGTAAAACAAAACAGGAAAATCTCAGGGAGTCAAAAGTCTCAGCAGAGACACAGAAATAATAAAAAATAAAATGGTCATTCTGGAACTGAAAAACAGAATTTCTGAAATAAAGCATTACTTGACGGACTAACAGCTGAATGGGCACAATAAAGGAGAGTAAGTGAACTTTAATCGAGATGAACAGAAATTATCGGAAGAATACAGATAAAAATATTTTTAAAATAATAAACAGCCTTACAAACCTGTTACATAATTCAAATGGTCACTTATAATTGGTATCTAAGGAGACCAGAGAGGGAATGGTACAGAAAGAAATGTGAAGAAATAATGGTCAAAAGTTGCCCAAATTTGATGAAAGACAGAAATCTACAGGATCAAGATGCTGTATGAACACCTAGTAGAGGAAAACCCAAGAGGCCAGTGCTGCAGCCCATCAGAGTCTACCTGCTGGGAACCGAACCGACAGGCAGCTTGCCTCGAAAGCAGGAGAGTGACCCACGACACACCACCAGCCAGGGATCCCGTGGTGACTCCTCATCGAAAGCCAAGGAGGCCAGAAAAGAGTAAAATAGCAGCTTTAAAGTGCTGAATGGGAAAAGGAAAAAAAGAAAAAAAAAGCAAAATAAAGGTACTTTCATACACGAGAAAACTAAGAACTGGGGCAGCAGACTCGCACCATGAGAAATGCAAAGGTCTTTAGGCTGAAGGGAAATGATGCCAGCTAGAAGAAACTCAGATCGTCAGAAAGGGATGAAGAGCACTAGAGATGGAAAATCTGGGGAAACACGAGATTGTTTGAAAATACTTTTATTTTTAGAGCATTTCACAGCAATATTAAGCAGAAAACACAGTTCCTACATACACCCCGCCCCACACACACCTCCCCCACTACTTACCTCCCGCAACACAGTGATACAGCATCACAATGAATGAACCCACACTGACACATCATTACTATCTAAACTCTCAGTTTAGGGCTCACTCTTGGAGCTGCGTGATCTATGGGTTTTGCATCTACCTCTGTAGTACTATAGACTAGTGTCACTGCCCTGAAAATCCTCTGGCTCCACCCTGCTTCTCTGCTCCTTGGCAGTGCTGACCTTTTTGCTCTCTCTAGTTTTGCCTCATCCAGAATGTCATATAGTTGGAATCATACAGTATAGGTGTCCGTTGGTAAACAAAGGGGATTGGGCCCGAGACCCCCCCACATATATCCAAATCCACGCATACTCAAGTTCCATAGCTGGCCTTTCAGAATCCACTTACAGAAAGTCAGCCCTCTGAACATGTGGGTTTCACATGTGTTTGGTTGAAAAAATCCACATATAAGTGGACCTGGGAAATTCAAACCCATGTTGTTCAAAGGCCAACTGTATAACCTTTTCAGACTAACTGCCTTCACTTGGTAATGTGCATTTAAGGTTCCTCTGTCTTTTCATAGCTTGGTGGCTCATTTATTTTTATTTATATTTTATTTATTTTATTATTGAGATTGAGTTTCACTTTTTCGCGCAGGCTGGAGTGCAGCAGCGCCATCTCGGCTCACTGCAACCTCCGCCTCCCGGGTTCAAGCGATTCTCCTGCCTCAGCCTCCTTAGTAGCTAGGATTACAGGTGCATGCCACCAAACCCAGCTAATTTTTGTGGGGTTTCACCATATTGGCCAGGCTGGTCTTGAACTCCTGACCTCAAGTGACCCACCCACCTCGGCCTCTCAAAGTACTGGGATTACAGGAATGAGGCACTGTGTCCGGTCAATCATTTCTTTTTATCCCTGAATATGAGTCCATTCTCTGCATCTGCCACTGGTTTATTTACCCGCTCATCTACTGAAGAACATCTCGGTTGCTTCCGAGTTTTGGTAATTATGAAATTATGAATAAGGCTGCCATAAATATCTGTGTGCAGGATTTTGTGTGGCCATAAATTTTCAATTCATCTGGGTAAATACAAAGGGACAAAATTGCTGGATCACATGGTAAAGGTATGTTTAGTTTTGTAAGACTGTCGAACTGTCTTCCAGAGTGGCCACCGTTTTGATCCCCCACCTGCAATGAATGGGAGTTCCTGTTCCACATCCTGGCCAGCACTGGGGGTTATCAGTGATGTGGATTTTGGCCATTCTAGTAGGTGTGCAGTGGAATCTCATTGTTTTAATTTGCAATTCCTTAGAGACATATGACACTGATCTCACAATGCCCGCCTGTCATCTGGGTATCTCCTTCCATCCGGAGTCTATTCAGGCCTTTCACCCATGTTTTAAATTGGGCTGTTCGTTTTCTTGAGTTTTTTTGCATATTTTGGATAATGGTAGTTTATATGTGCCTTTTACAAATATCTTCTCCCAATCTATGGACTGTTTCTCATTCTCTTGACATTGTCTTTTTTTTTTTTTGAGATGGAGTCTGACTCTATCGCCCAGGCTGGAGTGCAGTGGCTCAATCTCGGCTCACTGCAACCTCTGCCTCCCAGCTTCTAGCGATTCTCCTGCCTCAGCCTCTGGAGTAGCTAGAATTACAGGTACCTGCCACCACACCCAGCTGGTTTTTGTATTTTTAGTAGAGATCCCAAAGTTGATGTTGTCTTTTACAGAGCAGAATTTTTTAATTTTAATGAAGTCCAGCTTGTCAATTATTTTTTCCATGGATTGTGCCTTTGGTGTTGCACCTAAAAACTCATTGTCAAACCAAGGTCATCTCTTTTTCGCCTATATTATCAT